ACCTGAGCCGAAGTTGGGCGCTCAACCGACTGAGCCACCTAGGCGCCCCTGGACGTGTGTATCTTTACTTCACAGATGTTTCCCTGCTTAAGCCAAAGTCACAGAGTTCATTCTAGAGAGGAAAGAGTTTTGTAACCGTGGCCTCATGAGGGGGATAATCATTACAAATGAGGCCGCGGACGAGAAGAAAGGAGAGTGGCGAAGGCCGAGACAACAGAGAAAAGGAGAGCCTGTCGTTACAACCCGAAGACAGAGGTCTGTTCTGGGAGGTTCTGGGGAGGAGGAAGGCAGTATGGCTCCTGAGAAAAGCTGGGGGACGGGCAAGGAAAGAAGCAGCATGGCCACCCAAGGAATGGGGCTGGTGAGCTGCAGGTGGTGAGGGCAGGGGTGCGTGTCTGAGGGCCTCCCGCGAGCCAAGGCTGGGCAAGGCTCAGTGGCTTCGGTTGCTACGTTTGGAAAAACCAGTATCAGTATCATTTGCAAATTTCAGAGAAAAACACATACAAAAGAAACATTTCAAATTAATCCTTTCTACTAGCCCAAAGGGACTCCGGTGTCTTGAACTGGAGTAAATCTTAGCCACCACGGGCCTCCGAGGGGTGGCCCATCTCTACCACTGCCCAAAGCAGTCAGAGGGGGAGCAGCCAGGAAGCAGGGGCGCTGGGCCGGGCAGGGAGTTGCCTGCAGGAGGCATGCACCTCTTTTAGCTTCTTGGCCCAGGGCTTCTGCGCCTTCCGAAAGCCGTCCTCCGCCTCTTTGGTCTCCTTGAAGCCTCCCATCATCTGCTTGTGAAAGGCTTCCTTCTGCCAGTTCTTGATCTTCTCGAAGTCCTCGTTCATCAGTGAGGCCTTCACCTCCAGGTGCAGCTCACTCACTCTCTCCGCCTCGGCCATGACCGCCGTCCAGGCCTTCTCCACCGTCCCGTACTGGGGCCCTGGCACAGGAGAGAAGCTGCTGGTTACTCGCCCGCGGCTCCCAGAGGGGCCCTGCCGTGGGGATTTGCTCTGTTAACCTGTCTCTGCTGTGAGGACCGGATTCTAGGCCCAGCAGCCTGGCTGCTGGGCCGAGAGGTTTCCTTTGGGTTCTTTCAGATCTTTTTCTCTCGGTGGCTGTTCCTTTTTCAGCCTGGGATGAAGAAAGAATAAGGAAGCGAAGCTGGATGGACTCAGCCATTCTTTTGTTAGGGAAATCAGGGGATTACCCACATTTCCTTTTTTTAGAGTCACTAAGCTCTGTAAAAACTCGAATTTCTGCATCTTGGAAGTTTTTCTTTTTCCTAATTAATATTTTTAAAATGTTTATTCATTTATTAGGGTGGGGTGGGGAGGGGAGAGGCAAAGAGAAAGAGAGAGAACATCCCAAGCAGGCTCAGCACTGTCAGCATAGAGGCTGACATGGGGCTCGAATTCATGAACCAGGAGATGGTGACCTGAGCTGAAATCAGGAGTCAGACACTTAACCAACTGAGCCACCCAGGCGCCCTAGCATCTTGAAAGTTTTAATATGCTTATGGCTGGCTGGAGAAGGAGGTGCCTCTGAAGTGAGCTGACCTCTCCCTTCCCCATGGGGGGCTCTCCAGCACCTCTCTCATTCACTCCCAGGAGGAGCCTGGCTCAGAGCAGGAACTTGAGAGCTGCTCGTCAAACAGAGGACTGTCTCCTCAGCAGAATGGAAGCCCTGTCTTGGGGAGAGGAAGGAGAGTTGGAGGCAGGAAGCTGCTCTGGCCAGATGGAAATCTCTAGACAGTGGTCCCCTCGCATGCTGCACTCAGGAAGGAAGCTCATAATCGGCCTGTCACTCTGTTGAGGGTGTGGGGTGCTGGCCTCAGGTGAGGGAGGAAGAAGCTGTGACGGAATCTGAGGGGGACAATTGCTGTTTGAGCTGTGTACTGACACAGAGAGGCACCGGAGGGGTGGATAGCCGTGGGGGGTGTGAACCCTTCTGAACCTCGACTCCCTGTGTCTACAGAACAAGCTGCTCCCTGTCCCGCCTCAGTCTGCCACGCGGTGGTGGGATC